CTGGTGGTGTTCTCTGTGGTATGTTTGCCGTAATATTAAGTATAGTTAGTTATTTATATCACAAGTGACTTATCAAAATAATTAGTGTGTGGTTATTAGAAATATCTCTGGTGGTGTTCTCTGTGGTATGTTTGCCGTAATATTAAGTATAGTTAGTTATTTATATCACAAGTGACTTATCAAAATAATTAGTGAGTGGCCTTTAGAAATATCTCTGGTGGTGTTCTCTGTGGTATGTTTGCCGTAATATTAAGTATAGTTAGTTATTTATATCACAAATGACTTATCAAAATAATTAGTGTGTGGTCTTTAGAAATATCTCGGGTGGTGTTCTCTGTGGTATTTTGCCGTAATATTAAGCACTAATTATTTTGATAAGTCACTTGTGATATAAATAACTAACTATAACAGAGAACACCACCCGAGATATTTCGAAAGACCACACATGTCACATTCCCTGTATAAAAAAAAAAAAACTTGAGTGTTCGAAATGTAACGTTCGTTAGGTTCATCAAGGTGTACGTAGCTGTGTTGTTACGATTGTAACTACATGCTTTACTAATACTATTTACACGTCAATTGTCTAGTTGGCAAGTAGCCTGTAAAACGAAAGCACAAACTGGCAGGCATATTTGAGTCGCTAGTTGTAGTGGATTTGAAATCCAGTTAATTTCTGATCGGAGCTTCAGAATTCTATAACTCACGTGTTCAAGTCTACACATGAGTTATAGAATTTTTATAATTGTAAATGAATGTTATAGCTCTGTGGTATAAGGACATGATATTTCATCAGAACCTGAAAGTATCAACTAAGTCAACATGTTAACAGGGTTCTTATACAACATGGAATCCTTGTCAATCTTAGATAAAACTATTATACAATCTTCTTTTTTTTCTTATGAGTTTTTTCTTTAAAGGTAAATTTTTCGTATAAAAAACAAAACACAAAATCCACACTTTATCTCTATTTAGAAACTTAAAGTTCCAAACTTGAAAATAACGACTTACTTTTGTTTTGGGACGAAATTGTATAGTTGTCATCAATTATCCATGACGACACGTAGACGTAATTAGTCACGTGACTGGGGATATAACATGTTAATACAGCAGTTGTGCCTCTGATGACGTTTTGATCGTAGACGTGGATGATGTAAGGTTCATACAAAACTGAAAGTAATAGTCATTATTGAAACTAAAGAAAAAGACATTTAGTAATGTTATCATTATACGATCAGTAGTTGATCAAACAACGTTTACATATTTGTTCACTCTGAATATAGTTATTTTACGATGTAGCTCATCTGTTTTAAACCAGAGTTTTGTAATGAAACTTGCATAGAATTAACCAGTAGCATAAAATGGTTTCTAAGCATTTTTCCAAAGTAAATTTATCAGTCTTATATATCATCACCATATAAATGAAAGTCAAGTGTCGTCTGTCAGTCAGTCAGTCGGTCACGCTCGATTTCTCCGAATCTCGTGAGTTACACGCTTCCAATTCCACTTGTTCTCCTATAATACTTCATCTTTAGTTAAATTTAATCGCTAACATAGGCATAAATGGTTCTTAAATTTCGGCATTTTTTTCTGCTATATAAAAACCTGTCAAGGAGGGAGTTCCTAGGACTAGATCAGGCATGGCGTTATGTGCGTGACACCACATCATCCACATCATTATGACGTCAAGCTAGGTAGGATCCGACTAGAAAGTCGGGAAGACTCCTGTGAAAAGTAAGTCAAAACTTAGCGCAAATCTATGCTTGAGAATTATTACGAAAAAGCCTTTGTTAAACCAGATTGAAGATACCAATTATCTGTAGGGGAGAGGACGACTTTTCCTCAGAAGAAGAACAGATGTGTATGTAATCACACGATCATCATATGTTTTAATCTTTTATCCAAAAGTACCAACATGTTGCATGTTTACACTCCTTAGGTAAAGGAGATAATGCTCATGATAGGCTAGAAAGTGTTTGATTTTTCATATGTCTGTTTACGGGCGGCAAAGCTGCAAAAGCATATTGAAGAGTTCAAATTGTGTAGGCTTTGATTTTTCGTCATTTTTGATGGGCTATTATACATATACATATGTCAGTTTAGGGTTTAGGGCTCCATCTACAGTAGAATTAATACAGGAAAGTGTTATATGCCTTTACGCCTAGTAATCTTTTTGAGCTGTATTGAATATTTACCGATAAAATGTTAACATTATAGTGCTTTGAACTGTGGTAAAGCAGCAAGTTGAAACTTTACACAACGAGACATTTTACGTGGAGTTCAATTTTTTCATTATGGTTTTGCGAGGAAATTACACGAACCTGTGTAAGAGTTCAATTTATACTTAGAAAACGGAAAAAAACTTTGACGATGTTGTTATGATCAGCGCTGTGAAACCGCTTAACAAAAGGTTTACATTAATGATAAATCAATAACTTCTACGCCAAAGCACACAGTTCAACAGCTGTTGGAATACTAGTTTCAGTACAATGTGTATTGCACTGTAGTTACAAACGTTTTGTCGACTTTGAAAACTGTTGAGGAGTGAGTTTGATCAACTATATCAAAACGAGTAAAGTATATATATTATAGATCCAGAGTCATATTTAGCGTTTATATTCCAATTGGTTCAACCATGCAACGGTATAGCAGTTTCTTCGGTCGATTTTAATGATTTGCGATCTTTGAATACGCTCAAAATACAGTTTAGTCTGTTCCAGCAATACGCATATTTTTACAACGCAAAAATTGTAGTAATTAAAGTTAAGTGCTTACAATTTTAAGTAAGTTTGACTATTAAAAAAAATAAAATTGTTCTGACTTATTTTGATTTCTGTACGTAATTATTGTAATTAAATATCCGTAGGAATATTTTATTTCTAAGATGAATAAATAAATAACCACTTAGAAAGCCGAGATCACGTGACACGGCTTCTGTGGAGTTAAGCCTTGTTAATCAATTGTAGTACTCTGATTGTAGTTTGAAGAAATAACTGTGTTGATGCCCGGGTCCTTTATATCAAATATTCTTAGTCTATTTAATAACCTTACTTTGTCCTTCTATAAAACAACTGCACTTCTGTTTTGTTTTACAGGTAGTCACGTGACGTGTGTTTAGAGGGTAGCTGAGATACAACCAACTGTTGCTCGTTTAATAAAGACCAACCACCCATGAAATACTGGGAACCGGTGCTCAATTTTTTATTGCTTACAGTGAGCACCTCACGTTATTCCCAGTGACATGCGCACTCACTTATAAGTCAACTTCAAGACTACTACACGTAAGATGGTCATTTCTTCACGTCATGCCAAAGGATGCGAGAAAACTACATGTGGAAAGTATTCGCACTTGATCTCACACTAACTGACGAACATTTTCACCTAGACCCACAAGAAGAAGGAGGACTAGATCCACAAGAAATAGAATAAAATGTCCTGTGAAGAACCTTTTCACTTTTAAGAGGAAGAAAATTATATTTTTAACTTACCCAAAGAAAATAAAAACCACCAACGATGTGCATTTTGTACCAGAGAAAGATATTATTAGTGTTCATAGTGCTATCTTCACTTTGTCCACCGAGGGGAATCAAGCCTTGGATTTTTGGGTAGTAAGTCCCTAAATTTACCGCTGACCCTCCATCATTGGTACCTGATGATGACAAAACCTTGTCGAAACGTTGTACATTTGCTGTTATGTTTTTCTTCATTACCCATTCAAGCCGTCTCCAGCCATTGTTAGTGTTAAGCTTGATCAGCTAACATTCAACCTCCTTCACATATAACAGTGTTAAGCTTGATCAGCTAACATTCAACCTCCTTCACAGTTAACAGTGTTAAGTCTGATCAGCTAACATTCAACCTCCTTCACATATAACAGTGTTAAGTTTGATCATTAGAGTTTCGAATAAAAACAAGTTCTTTAAAAAAATTGTTAACATTATTTGTATTTCATCAAAATGTGACATTATTGGTAGGGACAGTATTTTTATTGTTGACTTCCTTATCGTTTATATGCTAGTGTTTTGGAATTTTCAAAATTTGAATTTCTCTATCGACTTATACGCGTTTCATATATTACTGAGGAATATTTCAGATTCCTGAATATCATGTAGAAACGGTATCTTCCAAACGAATTTCTGAAGAAAGACCTCACGAATGTGTCATTTTTTTTTAGATTTTCACTTTTAGACCGAGATTACATTTTATGTGAAACAAAAACACAGGAGGTGGAAACATTACGAAACAAAATAGCACAATAAACTATTACGAAAATTCTTATTATTGTTATTATTTAAATACAAGAAATATGGCGATGATTTTAGAATAATTTTGAAGCTTTTAAAACAAACATTTTTGTGCAGCTGTGTTATTCAAATTTGATATTGGGAATTAAAATGGATAAGGTGAAATCTTCCTCTTTTTCTTTGACAAATGTACTCGTTTTTGATAGTTTTTCAATAGGCAATTGGTTTTCAGCACGTTATTTAAAAATGCATTGCAATTGTCTTCATAATATCTGAAAAATATGCGTGGAAAAAAAATTATTGATTACATTAAAGAATTCGTATAACCCTAAAACGCTGAATTTTCTGTGCTACACTTGAACACAATGTAGACGAAAGTTAAACAAACATATTATTAAAACAAATAAAAACAAACGTAGTACCAATAGAATGAAAAAAACAACAATGAGATTACATTAAACTATAATTACTTAGACCAAGTACAAACACTAGAGTCTGGAATAAAAAGGAGAAAAAGCATATCTAATGACTGCAGAAGCTACAGTAGCTACTATGGTTTTATCCCACAATTAGAGACACGCTCTTCTAGTCATCAGAATATATTTATGTATTTATAAAAGTGTAGGAAAACAAGCTTACTGAACTGTTCACCACACGAAGTATCACATAATAGTAGCAGAGATATGTCTAAAGACCACACACTAATTATTTTGATAAGTCACTTGTGATATAAATAACTAACTATACTTAATATTACGGCAAACATACCCTTAGCCTGTCTTTTATATCGTTCAGTTGTTTTAGTAAGATATCAGTCAACATTGTAAGGCTATCAACTCGATCTCTCCGACATCCTTTATATTTTTCAATTGCTTTAGTTGGATATCAGTAACGACTCATTGAAGAGTCAGGCTGGGATCATAGACAACAAGTCGTCACACCAATATCTAAGCTGACTTGTGAAACTGTTTCTGGAGACTGAAAACATTTCCTTGAAATCGAGCAGAAAAATGTTAGGATAATTTGGCCTTTTTGTGGAATATCACAGTTAGTAAAAGTTAACCCATGTGTTTCTTTTGTGACCCCATGCCATGTTGCTCTCGAAGTAAAGTTCGAGATGATATCACATATTTTAA